ATGGGGCAATATGGGAGGAGCTGGAGGGGAGGGAGTGGGCATGGATTTGATCAAAACACCTTATATGCATGTGTGAATTTCTCAATGAATTATTTATTTAAAAAAAAAGAGATATAAAATACGCGCTAAAACAAAATTGTTTTTAGTCCAAAGAGGCAATTTTTAACACACTTTTCCAGAAATAACTTGAAGCATTTCACAAAAAATATATATACACAATGAAGTTTGAGGGGGGAAAAATAAGAATAAGAAATCAAAGAACAAATATTTGCCAACATGGGGTCAACTTTGGTGGACTAATAAAGGTTACTGTTAGCTCTGTTCTTTTTTTCTTTTTTTTGGGAAAATCCTAATGTGTTTATTGGGCTTGCCAACAGAGCATAGGGTGGGGGTTCATTTACAGAAGGGTGAGGGCCCCCCCATTGACAGCTGTGCTCGAAAGTCCACAGTCAAATATAGATCCTGTGACTTCCTGACAGCTGCACAAAATGGTAAGAGAGGTGTCTCACGGTGTTCTCGGCTTATGTATCCTTAGCCCCTCCCCGACATGCAGCTAAAGTGGACTGATTGGGTTGGAGGTGTAACCGATTCCCCCATCGACTCCTTGAGGAGCGTGGGAAGGAGGTGTGACTATAGCTTGCCTGTGTAGTGGTCAGTGATCGGAGGACACTTCCAGTTATCACTCCACCCCTTCCTCTGGCTTGTACACATTTAATTATAATATGGGTGAGTTTTTTTCTTCTTCTTTGAAGATGACACATTTTAGAGTAGTTTAGGTTTATAACAGAACTAGAGGAAGGTACAAGGATTTTTTCCCACATATGCTGTGGTCCTCAACATGCGTATCCTCTCTCATCATCAGCATCTGCACAGGAGTGGTACATTTGTTTCAAATGATGGTCCTGTGCCGCCTCATCATCATCACTCAAAGCCTGCAGCCTACATTAGTGTTCACTCTGGGAACTGTGTATCATGGGTCTCAGCAAAGCTATGTCTCACCACCCAGAACTTCCTCTGTCCTTTTCCAATTCATCCTTCTTCCCTCCTGACCCAGACCACCACTGGGTGGTCTTTGCTGTTTGTTCTTTTTTGGAGGCGGGGCATTACTCTCCAAATTGTTTAGTATACTATTTTTATAATTGGGAAACGAAAAAAGAAGGTACTTTCTTTGAATCTTCAATATTGTGGGTTGCTGAGACATCTCAACAGTTCAAGAAACTAAATAAAAACCAGAAGACTGAAGTTCTCCCTTTTCAACACATTTAGTTCTGGTTCTTTTTGAGCTGACATGGTGACAGTGACTCTGAGGGACTCTGAATTGGTACTTAGATTCGGTGAAAGACTCTCCTGCTGTCTTTATACCCACTCGTTCTGGGAAAGAATGACTAGAAGTAAGTTGTGCTAAATCTGAGCATAAAAACAGACATGACCCATGGAGGCCGTATAAATCAGAATTTAGCATGCTCTTCTGGTTCTACTTGAACAACAAGGCAAGGCTGGGATTTTCCATAGGTGGCCTGATCACAAGTGAGTCCCGGACTTGCCTCTTGCTGGCAATGGGCTCTCTGTGAAGCATCTGCCTGGTCCTAATTCTTGTTTCTGGTGAACAGGGATATCTAATTAAGCCGTCCCTTGATGGAGACCTAGCAGGAAAAGGATTTTTCTCCTTTAAATCTCCAGTTTTAAAAGAAGATTAAAAAATATGACATATCTCCTTGTGCCCCAAATCAGATAATTTCCTTTTCATGATTTAACCCTAGAGAACTAATTTTTTTCCTCCATAAGCAAGGAAAATGGTACATCATAAATCACTTCTCCGGGAATAAACTTATAGAAGTTTCTCCTTCAAACCTAGGATGATAAAGTTATTGTAAAGAAGCAGGGCAGCTCAGCAAGTCAGTTACCGTCACTACAGTCACCATTCATTCTTTCTCAAGTAGCATAGAGTGACTTGTCCCAAGTTCTTCCTTGATACCTCACTCTTCAGTCACAGAAACAAACTTCCCAGATAACCTGGGACTGTAAGGAATGAAACACAACTTCTCCCAGGTTCTTCTGACATTTAAGATACCTGAGTAAAAAAACAAAACAAAACAAAACAACAAAAAACCCGGGGTGGGATGCTTTCTTGCTGGGAGTTTAAAATCACAAAACTTTCCCTTTCTTTCCTACAAGGAGAGTATTTCATGGCAGAATACACTTATTTACTCCATATGATATGTAAGACGTATTGATGCCTTAAATTCACTTCACCAATGGGTCCTGGTAGGAGTGACTGAGCCAACACCTTTGAAGAGTCTAGGCACCAGGAAGGCCCTTCCTCTGGAGCTCTGCAGGCTGCCTTGATTTGCTGACCTCATGATCCAGATATCGTTTCCTTTCCAAACCATGCTTGGCTATCCGTCTACAGTGTTACTTTTCTTCTTTCCAGCTCTTTATTTCCTGTTCCTTTCCCCCTTTTCCCTCCCCTCTCTTTCTGTTTTGGTGGAGTTACCATGTTGCCTAGGTTGGTCTCAAACTTACTGGTTCAAGTAATCCTCCCACCTCTGCTTCCTGGGTAGTTGGAATTCCGTATGAGCCACAGCATGCAGCTTCCATAGTGAATTTAAAAACAAGCAGCTGGACATGGTGGTGCACACCTTTAATCTTAGCACTTGGGAGGCAGAGGCAGGTGGATCTCACAGATCAAGGCCAGTCTCATCTACATATCAAGTTCCAGGTTAGCTGGGACTACAGGGCGACCCTGTTTAAAAAAGCCAACCAACCAACCAAACAACCAACCAATCAAATGAAGTTGCCAGCCTTTCAGTTAAAGACTAAAAAGTCTATAATCTTTCTAGTTTCTCTTTTATTTGGGACCAGAAAATGAAAGATTGGACTAAACTGGTGTCCACTTGAAGAACCTCTTGTCCAGATCCTGGCTGGAGTCAGTTCTCTTATTCTTTCAGTGTTGGTACCCCCAATCTACCTTATCTAATATAAAGTTTCCAAATATAACAAAACTGCATTCTTTATTCTTTGTGCATATCCTAAGAGCTGAAATTCACCTGTGTGTTTCTAGAAATCTTTTCAACAAAAAGATCCTGGGTAATAAATAAGGTCTGACACTGAGTCTTTGTATTTGAAACCCCAGGAGCAAGAAGCAGAGCCCATGAGTGACTTCCCATTGGATCAGGATGCCCAGCTGGTGCATGAAGAGATGGGGACTCAAGGGGAGTCTGGCAGACATGATGAGCTAGGAACAGAGTGTTCGTCTAGAGGGGGGCTAAATAATCATTGTTAATATTATTGAACATTTATTACATGCCAGGCACTGTTCTAAGCCTTTACACACCTAACTCACTTGACTTGCATAATAATAGCTCTTATCATCATCCCATTTTACAGATGGGACAGCAAAGCACGGACATTGCTTAAACATGCCCACAGCTATCTGCTAGGTAGTATAAGGGCTGGGAACGAAGCCCAGGCATTCTGGCTGTGAGGTTCAGATTCTTAACCAACATGCTCTATTGTCTGATCCAATTTAGGTGGATAGTAACCAGGAAGTTTTTATTAGACATGAAAGTAAATGTCAAGTACCATTCTTGACCTTGTTTCTTTCAGTTTTCTTAGGAGCTCTGGCCTTGAGACCTGGGTCTGTCAATAGCACAGAGAAATAGCTTCTCATTTATACACGTGCCAGGGGAGATTCCAGTTCTGCCACAGCTCATGGGCCGGCCAATGGGCCACAGGTGTTAGCAGCACTACCAGGAACTAACCAAAATGGTGCCTTTACATGGAGCAAACCACCAGGCATCTCGAGAGAAACCACTGCTTCTTTTTTGTGCAGGAAAGACAGCAGGGGGCTTTGAGGTCTGACAAGTTTGGATTTAACCCCTAACTCACCCCAGCTTCATGTGTGAAGTGATATAAATGTGCTTAAACGGAAGCGTATCAGCAGGTATGTGGAAAACAGATCTTCAAGATCAAATTTGGCTGCCTCCCCTAGCTAACTTATTAGAAACTCCACAACTTGATCAAATGGCATGTGCATTTTTTGTTAGTCATTCAGGGCATACTCTTACACGTTTGCTCTATCCTCTCCAACCACTCACTGGTAGAGTCATCTGTGCCACAGTCCTAGAATCAGATCTTAGCATGCTGTCTCCAGCCCCCACACCTCCCAAGAAGGCTATCCCGACCCCTTGGCAGGCAGACCTGTCAAAGAAAACACTTGGTAACCTGTCCCAAGTCCTGACCTGCTCTGTTCCAGGACATGTGAGGTGAGAACCTTTACTTAGCCTCAGAATCCCACAATTATATGGAGACCAAACATCTGGCCAGGGAGTCTCTAGTCCTCCCTCAAATCTTATATTCCAAGGACTTACCAGTACCCAGAGCACAGGCCTCATCTGCTTTGGCAGCATTATCTGCACTTTGTACTTTAGAATCTAGGGAACAAAAAGAAGATTTTAGGGCCGGTCTATGACATCCAGACTCTTAGAGGGCAGTTAGAACCTTCCCATGGGATCTGGTTCATGTAGGCTGTGTTTGTGTCCCAGGTTTACTGTCAGTTTAGCTCATGGCTGAGGTAGACTGTTTCCCTCAAACTCCAGCATGACAGTGGACACGGCTTGGCTTCCTCTCACAGTCCCTGGCTAGTCCCCAAATGTGCTCTAACCATGGACTAATGCCTTCTTTGAAGGTTCTCTTCTCTCTGTCATATGTTAGTTCATGTCCCCTTTTGCCCTAATCCTACCTTCTGACCCTGAGTGTCAAATCATCCCCTCATTATTCCTCTTACTGAGGGATTCACCAGACATGGATTCCTGTGAGGGTCTAGAAAGAAATGGGTTTCTATCCCTTGGTCATCCTCCCCCCATAGGCAAGTTACTAGAGTCAGGTAACCCACTAGGAATGTGCCTGTGCCTGTGGCAAGGGGTTCCTGCTCTTCGGTGTCCTCCCACCTAGGGGAAAGCTGGTCCTTGTACCTGAGACATTGGGCTCACTACTGCTGGCCCCCTCCTTTGGGTGGTCAGGTGTCTCCTGTCTGGGCTTCTGGCTGAAGGCCAGGAAGAGGTGTGAGCTCAGTGGCTGAGGAAGGTCCACCTCCAGGTATGCCCTCATGAACAGCTTGAAGACATCATAGCTAATGGGCTGAAAAGGGTGAGAAGAGAAAAGTCAGTGAAGGGACAGAAAGTAGAAAGAAAAGGAGCCAGGAGACAGGTGGGGTGGGTGAAGGGGAAGCAAAGGAAGGGAAGGAGTTGGTGAGGGCAGGAGTGAAAAGGTCAAGGAAGAGAGTCAGCAGCACAGGGATGGGGTCGGGGAGGAGGGCACAAGACAAAAAACACTGGTGGTTGAACAGCAGGGCTCGGGAGGACATAGAACCACACTGGGTTTTTGTAATAGGCTATGATGTAGATTAAAAGTGGGCGTGATGCCCTTTCCCCCAAGACTCAGGGACCGTCATAGAAGAGGGAACTGAAAGATTTTAAGAGCCAGAGGTCAGGGTGGCCTGGAGGAAAACAGTGTCTTCTGGATATAACAGGACTGTTGTGCCCATGAACTCAGCAGTTATGGTTGCCTGCACAAGACCTGCACAAGATGGAGCCAGCCAGCACTCCAGCTGTGGAGTGGTGAGAGGTTCACAAGCCCCTACCCCTAGCTGAAGAGCTATTGGCAGTTGATGGCTTCTGGGAGAGGAGAGTCAGTTTTCTGTAAGTGTATGGCCCTTGGTAGGCTGACTACGTTCCAGTGGATGACCCTGCACCCAGGAATATACAAGCAGTGCAAACTGAACTCATCAGGTTATTAAGGAAAAAAAAGAGGACACAAAGTTGAGAGGATTTGGGAGGTGTGGGAGTGGACCTGGGAGGGATTAGTGGGCTGACTAGGGGGTTAATATGATCAAATACATTGTATGCATGAATGGAATTCTCAAAGAATTAAAAAAATATTTTATTAAAAAAGCAAAAGTGATACATAGTGATCTCTGCAGAGCTGCCTTTGTCCAGGTCCACCTGAAGGTCTTGGCTTTCTGAGCAGGGACTCAGTCAGTGCCCTGGAATCCCATTTAAGATGAAGAAGAATGAAGCAGAGTGTAGTGTGGGCAGAAAGGCTCTTGATTTCCCTCTGATTCCTGAGGATTTGGGTCTCAGAAAGTAGGAAGGACTGGGGAGGAAGGACAGGCTCCGTCCTTCAGTGCTTCCATAATTCTTATCATCTTGGGACAAATCTCGAGACGAGAAGGGATTGTATGTTCCTATTTCAGCTACGTCCCCAAACATGTCCTTGTGAAGGTTTAGGCATCAAGGGAAGAGCAGAAAGCCGAGGACAGATGCTCCAACCAAGGAACATGCCAAAAGCTAGACTGTTCCTGCTGTCGCCCTCACTGCATCCTGGCATCTGGTTGCAAGCTGCGGGTATCCATGCCAGAAAGAGTTGCTACTCTCAGCAAACACTCAACAACAATAACAACAACAGTTTGCCATGAGTCATCACGGCTTGTGCCTTCATGGCATCAGATCTTCCTAAATCACAGAGGCTTCTGAAGTCATCCGAAGAAGCGCTAGTCCAGGAGCCTCTGTGTGTGCTGGCGTCTGTGAAAAGCAGCTCCGAGAACAGAATCCCTTTTTGTAAACCTTCTTAGTGCTCTCTTGAAAATGTTGTTAGCATTTAATGTCTTGCCTGTTCTGGAGGTTCTGTAAAGCTTCCCAGAATCAGGAACTGTCTTGCATGTGTCGAGTCCAGTGTGGGCTCCAAGTCTTGGCTCTAAAATCAAGTGATCAGCACTCCATTGGAAACTCATAACCTATTACTGCTTACTGCTTAGTTCCAAGCTGTCCTATAGATCTATAGATCTCTTTTGCAGAGTGGAAAAAGTCTGATTCAGTTGGACATGGACAACTATCCATCCGTCTGTCTGTCTGCACGTCTGTCCATCCATCCATCCCTCCATCCATCCATCCATCCCTCTATTTCCAGATTATGGAAATTCAGCAAAAGACTGATTCATATTTATTGTGACAGCTTTGCATCTCTCTGTGCCCCTTCTGTGTCCAAGCCTCTACCCATTTCCTTTCTGTCCCTCTCTTTCTCCACAGGGACTATCCATCCGTCTGTCTGTCTGCACGTCTGTCCATCCATCCATCCCTCCCTCCATCCATCCATCCCTCTATTTCCAGATTATGGAAATTCAGCAAAAGACTGATTCATATTTATTGTGACAGCTTTGCATCTCTCTGTGCCCCTTCTGTGTCCAAGCCTCTACCCATTTCCTTTCTGTCCCTCTCTTTCTCCACAGTGTTGTGACCTCAGACTATCCATTTTGCATATATCCTTCTTCTTCCTACTACACAACAGCAAAATTGTTTCCTCTTGCCTTGCGAGTGTAACCCATCCATTGCCGCCCTTGCTTCCACCCTCACTGTTTCCTACTGCATCTTCTGCCATTTTCTTCTCTTTTTCCTGCAAACTTGTTCCACATCTACAACTGCAAAGATGCTAACCCTTCCTTCTTCCTTCCCTTCGGGTTTTTCCAGACAGACCACATTGGTCTTCTTTCCTCTCCTGAACCCCACCCCAGCCTTTTGTTACTAAACCCTCTTGTAGAAGTCATACCTTCAGTTGTCTCTGTTGACCTTCTCATCTTCGGTCTCTCTGTAGCATTTTGTTCTCTTTTCTTGAAATTCTATTTTCCATATTGCTATTTAGTTTGATACTTTGTGGGGGGTTTGAGACAGGGTCTCCCTGTAGCCCCAGCAGGCCTGAAACTTGCTAGGTATGTAGACCAGGCTGGCCTCAAACTCACAGAGATCCTCTTGCCTCTCTCTCCAGGCATGTGCCACCACACACTGACTTTTATTTTGATACTCTTCATTCTCTACTTTGATTTAATGAAATATTTGTTAATGGCATATTGTTCATTTATTTCAAAAAGCTCTTCTGCATTATCTTTTTGCACTATTTTAATTGATAAGTATCATTATTTAAAAATATTTTATTATTTTTATTTTATTTTATTTTATTTTTTTGGTCTTTTTGAGGCAGGGTCTCCCTGTAGTTCCAGCTGCCTGGAACTCGCTCTGTAGACCAGGCTGGCGTCGAACTCACAGAGATCTGCCTGCCTCTGCCTCCCAAGTGCTGGGATTAAAGGCGTGCACCACCACGCCCGGCTAATTATTTTTATATTATGTGTATGAATGTATTGCCTGAATGTATGTAAGTGCACCCTTGTCTTGCAATGCCTGTAGAGGTCAGAAGACAGCACCAGATCACTTGAAACTGGAGCTGTTAGCCACCATGCAGGTGCTGAGAACGGAGCCCAGGTCCTCTGCAAGAGCAGCAAGTGCTTTTATCTGCTGAGCCACCTCTCCAGCCCCTGACAAGTATTATTTTAAACTGTAGTTTTGAGTTAGCATCAAATTAAACACTATCAGAAAGAGATATTTCTGGGGGGGAAAAAAAACAAAGCCAAATGGTGATTGAACAAAGTCAGTGTGAGATGTGCCTAAAACACCAGTCTAAGTTCCCAGCAAAGTGGCTACCAAGTGTCTAGCGAGAGAAAAGCAGTTGGCTGGGTGCGGCTGGGTACATTTCTTTTGCATTTGCTTACTTTCTATTAGCATACAAAGAATTGAGTTTCATAATGGCATTTTCAAATACATTTATTTTTGCTGCCCCCCATCCCGTTTCTTCCTGGTGTGTTCCCACCCCTCTCTGCTTCCACATTCTTTCCATGACTTCCCTCCTCCCCTTCTCGACACCTCTTGCCCCCGTCACCATTTCCTATCTGGTTTCGTGGTCTATACCCACTTCCATAGCCCCTGATTTACGCATGTACAAATGTTAAAAGTTAGGGTCTACATGGCAGCGGGAACCAAGTCTGGGTCACCTCACCGAATATATTTTCTAGATACACTAATTTTCCTGCAAATTTCATAATTTCATTTTTATTTATAGCTGAATACAAGTCTACTGTGCATATATGCCATATTTTCATGATCCATTCTTTTGTTGATGGACATCTAGCTGGTTCTGTTCTCTTACTGTTGTAAATAAAGCAGCAATAAAACATGGGTGTGAAAATGTTTGTGTGGGAGGATTTGAGTGTGTGCTCAGGAGCAGGAAAACTGGCCACTCAGCTAAACCCCCAACCTCTGCTCCCAGGCATGGCATATTCTTTGAACTTCAGTTTGTCTTCAGCAGATTGTTAGTTCTGGGTCGGATCTCAAGCTCTAAACTTCTCTCAGCATCGTCCCTAGCCCTGTTGCCCTTCCTGACTGCCACGTTCACCAACGACAACAATTTAGCTTGAATTCTCAATGACTAGAAACTAGTTCTTATCCCTTCATTCTGCCACTGTTCCTGTGCAACATCTGCCACACACAGACATTTTCCATGTCCATTTATTCTGGTATGGTCACCAAAGTCTCAGACTTCAGTTTCATGTATTTTACCCAGACCAACCACTGCAGTGCCTTTTGAAGACATCCTTGCCCCCACTTCCATCTTTTTTTTTGGTCTTCCCATCTGTCTTTCTATCCTTGCCAAGTTGATTTTCCAAAGCACAACTCTGAGAAGACTGATTCTCTACTCAAAAACTTGCCATGACTTCTAATTGTCCATGGGGGAACTGAGAGCAGTTTCTGCACTCCTGTTCTCCAGTACTGTACAACATAAAATGTGTACCAAATAGAAGCAGATGGACCAAAGTAATTCAAATAGAAGGGTAAATATATGTTTATACATACATAATGTCACAGTCCAGTGAGGCATTGTAGGTACTTACATGCTGTCTGGGACCTTTGGGATTCACATCCTTCCCTGTAATCCCACTCTAGCCTAGATGTGCAGTCACTGCAAACTCTCAGACCACTTGCCATTTTCTCCTGCTATCTCTTATGTACAACTATACATCCTATCCACATAGCTTTCTTGTTCTTTCCTTACCAAGCCTCCATGAAATCCATTTGTTTCTGTAACTGCTAAAATTCCAGCTATGCTTTAAGGACCAATCCAGGTGCCACCTCCTCCAGGAAACCCAGTGGAATTTCCTGTACTTCTTTAATTTGTACTTTGGTTCCTGCTGTGTAAAAACCATATATGCTGTTTGTACTAATATAGCTGTTGGTTATGTCTTACTTCTTAGAGTCAACACTCCTGGATGATAATGGTAATGTCTTATTTCATTTTTATCTCCTCAACCTTTCAGTATTTCCTGACAGATGTTTGAATGGATGATGGCTTTCTAGTTGGTACAACTTAGAAATGGCCTGGTGTCTGGCCCCTGTCTGTCATCAATTATTGTGGGATTCATTCAGTTAAAAAATAGAGAGAGAGGGAGAGAGGAAAGGAGAAAAGGAGGGAGGGAGAAAGGGAGGAAGGGAGGGAAGGAGGGAGGGAGGGAGAAAGAGCAAGAGAGTGAGAGAGAGAAAGAGAAAGAGAGAGAAAACACTTTCTAAAAACCAGGCACAGTACTGGACAACTAACAGAGAACAGTAAAAGTTAGGTAGAGGTCTATGTCTTCCAGAGACTCTGTTTTATACATATAGCTAAAAGTATTGAAATAACTGTAATACAAAGTCAACAGTGGTGAGCACCATGGGACAGGAATTGGCACAATGCTATGAGAGCTTAGAAAGTAATTATGATGGAACTCACATTCATGACCCCATCTCCAGCATTCCCTGGAGAATGGGACGGTCCAGAATAAATACAGAAGCATAAAAAGTTCAAATCAGAAGAGCCTCAGTGAATCTGGGTTTCCTCAAGCCACTGCTCAGGACACTCAGTGACTTGTCTCAGCTCACTACTGGCAGGTAAAACCAGAAGCCAGATCTTTGAACTTGTAGTCTGTTACTGTATCTGTCACAGGTCCCTGGGCCATCATAGGTCCCACACCCTCCAAGTACCACAACTTCAGCAAGCAACTGGAATGTGATTGTCGGTCCTTTTGAAAGTGATAGCTGGTTTATAAGACAGTCCTTTATAAATCCAGACCAAAAGCAGAATAGCTGCTTAGTAAATATTCAGTACGTGACTCTGTCCGGAGGGGATGAGTATTATGCCCCAAATAGACAACCAGCCACTAGGAGACATGCTGGTAAATCCCTGAGCTCTTAGGAAATGCCACCTTCAATGAGGCACCTACATCATTCAGACCAAAGGAATTCTGTGTTCCCTCAGCAGCTGTGAATTCCATGAAGCAAACAAACAGGCAATTACTATTGCTGCAACCTATTTCAAGAGGCGTGCTAATTCTTACCTAGGTTTAGAAGGAGGAGAGGAGTTAAGAGGGCTTACCACGCAACAGGCGTAAATCAACAGCAAGAGGGAGGACAGTAACTGACAACGTTTAAAAATCTGCTCCAAGTCACAACTCAGGCAGCAGAGCTAGAACTTGGACTCAGGGATGTTTGGGGCCAGGTTCCAGGTACCAGTGAGCCATTGCCTCCTTTGCTCTGCTGCGTGTTGCCCACTCTTTAGCTGTCACAGCTGCTCTTCTCTGCAGAGGATCCCAGGTGGTGAAGGAAGGGCACATCCATCATAGCCAGATGCAGCCCTGACACTCTGCAAACTTCTCTTCCAGTCCTGGCTTCCCTAGCAACCTGCCCCTTCCCACAGCTAACTCCTTTCTCACTAAGATATTTTAGCAGCAGGAAGCCATCAAACTCAAGAGAATTGAAAGCCTTGTTTCTCCAGCCCCATGCTATGATATTACACCTACCAGAAGTCAGGCACACTGTGTGAGAGAATGAAGTCACAGTGACGGAGCTCCCCTGGGATGCAGCAGGGCCAGGCACACAAAGAGTGGCAGCCACCCCTGAGGGATGCGAAGGCGGCTCATGCTCATGACAGACAAGCTGCTCCAGCTCCTGAAAGCTCTCCTTGGCCCTAACACAGGTGGTGGCCCTGACCAAATTGTTCTCCTCCTACACATCAGCCCCCAGGCAGACAAGCAGATTACCACCCTCCACCAGCCTTTGTTCCCTGATTTTGGAGTTGGGGGTGGGAGTGTGGGGCATCGAGTTCTTTGCTGGCTCTGCCATCCTCTCTGCATGGCTTCCTCTCTGGAATGCCCTTTGAAGTGGTGCATTCTTCTTCAGTTCTGCCAACCTCCTCCAGCTTCATTCTCCCAGTGACTTGCTGGTTCCTCCAAAGCTCCTCCCAAGTGTGCAGGGAGAACACAGGCTCTGATGACTCATTCCCAGTGGCCACCAGAGAAGCCGTTGATGAATGGTTGTTGAATGAGTGACACTGTGAATAAATAAGTGGTAGCCTCTTCCCAAATTAGTTCTGTGTTCTGTCACTTTTCTTCTGTTAGCCCCCACTAAAAAAAAAAAAAAAAAAAAAAAAAAAAAAAAAAAAACAGAAAAAAGGGAGGAGAGGGCAAGGCAAGGCATTCTGGGGAAAGGAGATAGGAAAGAAGCAGTGACATGCCCTCTAAAGTGTTCACCATTCCAAAAACCGTTCTCACTTAATTCACTCTCCCACTACCTTCAAACTTTTACTTTTCTTATCTTCAGTTCACAGATGAGGGGAATAAGACTCAATGAAATATCATTCAAGGCCACATGGTGATAGCAGAGTAGAAGTTGAGCCTAAAACCATGTGACTCTAGGATCAAACTCAAACTTAACCCTGGCAGTTTTGGAAATTCCAGAAGGTAGATACTGCTTCTTCATTTTTGTCTCCTCCGCACAGCCACCTGGACACCCAGGAAATGGTAGATGCCTTGAATTTGAAAATAGGAAGAGGCCTTGTGTTCATTTATTCATTCAAACTGTATTTGTCAAATGTCTGCTGTGAGCCAGGTACTCCCCTGGGTACTGGAGACATGGCAGTGAATAACTATTCTAGCGAGAGAGACAGAGAATTAACTGAGTAAATTATTTAGTGTGATAGATGGTGAGAAGTATAAGGAAAATAAAGCAGGGGATAGGAAATGCGAAGAAAGAAGCTTCAAATTTGGGATAAAGAAGGTGATGATCACTGAGAAGGTGATTTGAGCGTAGACCTGAAGGAATGAAGAAATGAAGACTGTGGATGTGTTGGAGGAACAGCCCACAAAGAGGAAGAGTTGGTCCTGGGGTTACAGAGAATCAGAGAGCATCAAGGAGGCTCATATGGCTGTAAAGGAGTAAGGAAGGAGAGTAGCAAAACAATGAGTCTAGAAAGTAGCAGGAGAGAGTTTGCAGTGATCTAGACATTTGCCCTTAGTAGGGATTGGGGAACCATGGAAGATGGTAGCTCTAACATATGCTCTAACAGATGGCTCAGGATGTGTGTGAAGAATAGACTTCAAAGGGCAAGGGAAGAGGCAGAGAGCCCAGCGAGGAGACCACAGCAATCTGAGCAGAGTATGGTGATGAGTCAGGTCAGGAAGCTCGAAAGGCAGGAAGTGACATGTGGGGACGTTTTCAAGGTAGAAGTGGTGTAATTTTCTGCTGAACTGGATAGGGAAGTGAAAGCAAGTCAGGGATGATGACACACTTTTAGGTTAGTATTATTAACCTAGTGTTAACAGAGATGTCATTGACTGTTCGAAAGACATGTTTTCCAGGGGGGACATTAGGGACATCAGTTTAGCTTAAAGTAAGTTTGAGATTTCTATTTGATTTTCAAGTGGAAATGCCAAGTGCAGAGGAAAGAGGAAAACTTGGAGATTTTTGCTTTTCTGAAGTCAAATAAAGAAAATGGAAGAGGATTTGACCAACTGCATCTGATGCTGTTGAATAAAATCACTATGAGTCACATGGAGGCCACTGGTGTCTTCACTAGTGGTTTTACTGAAGGAATGGGAGTTACCCACTGACTGAAGGGCTTTGAAGAAAGTAGGGAGAGGAGAATTTGGAGGCAATTAGTACAAAGAAATTTTTAATAGAAGAGAAAGAATGCTATTTGTGTCAGCATCGGGAAAAAATCTAATATAGACAGGCAGACAAATGTGGAAAACAACAGAGACGGGAAGGAAGAAAGAGGAAGGCTGAGAGCTGTGCTGTTTCAGCAACACCTGTCAATAATCCAAACACAGGAGGACCCAGGCAGAGGCAGGCAGACCTCTATGAGTTCAATGCCAGCCTGGTTTACAGAGTGAGTTCCAGGCCAATCAGGGTTACATAGTGAGGCCCTGTCACAAAAACAAAAACAAAAACAAAAAACACAGGAGGAGCAGACAGTTTGCCCTCAGCTATGGAGAAAAGGTAGGCACACAGGTGGAGAAGCTCTGTGGGAGACCTTTGTTTCTCTTTTCTCAGTTGTTAATTGAGGATGAGGAAAGAAGGGGTGCAAGAGGCATGAGTAGAAAAGTATGATGAGGGATGTGGACAGACTTGGGAAATGTATGATGCCAGATAGGCGGCTCACTTGAGACTTAGGAGAACACAGGTCTAGGAGCAAGTTCTTCAAAGCAAGCCAAGACTCCAAGAGGGCAAGGCTTGAGGTGGAAGTGCTCTTACCTCATGTGGGTCATACTGCTTGAGGCTTCCACCCCCATTAAATTCAGTCAATACATCCTTTATCTTCTTTGACGAATCTGGAAAGACACAATCCACACGTAAGATACTGAATTCTCTGTCTGACCACAGTAGAATGGAGTATACTGCATTCCCAGGGCTACATGGAGAAATGTCACCCTTTCCTCCCCTGCCCTGCCATCCCTGCCTTTGCCCAGTCTTTCCTCTCTCTTGCTGTCTGAACTACTTTTTTCTTTCTTTTTTTTTTAGCTGTCCTGGAACTCACTATGTAGACCTCTAACTCTGCCTCCCAAGTGCTGGGATTAAAGGCGTGTGCCACCACGCCCGGCTCTGAACTACTTTTCTAATGCACCAATCTGATCTGATTGTGGTGCTGCTCAGAGGATTTCCACTCTCGCAGAATGAAGCCTTCCTACTTAGCTTGGGTGCAGCCCCTGGTGATCTGACTTAGCCTGATTCTTTGCTCCATTCTAGCTTCTCAGCCACATAAGGTGTTTCTAGAAATTTCTAAACATACTGTTCACTCCTTCATAGTGTTTTTATTTTATTTTATTATTTTTATTTATGTGTATGAGTGTATTGCCTGCATGTATGTGAGTGCATCCATGTCATGTAATACCCAGAGGTCAGAAGAGGGCTTCAAATTCCCCTGGAACTGGAGTTAAAGATGGTTCATAGTCGCCATATGGGTTCTGGGACTTGAACCTGGGTCCTCTGCAAGAGCAGTCAGTGCTCTTAACTGCTCAGCCATCTCTCCAGCCCCCATAGTGTTTCTTTTCTGATCTTATACTTCACTTATATTTCTGTATCCTGCATGCAGTTCAAATCCTTTGTAAAGTCTTCCTTTGGGGTAGGGTTAGTTATTTCCTCCCCCTGGCTCCCTCCCATTAAACAGGTACACACCTCTGTAGTAGCTCTTGTCATACAGTATTGTACAAAGATAGAGGAATGGTTATCACAGTCAGTAAAGTACTTGTTATGGAAGCATGAGGGCTTCAGTTCAACCCCCAGAGGCACCTGGTACCTGAAGAGCAGCACCCACAACTGACCTCTGGTCTTCGGATGCACATGCTCACAAGTGCACATGCATGTTCACCTACATGGACACAGACACACACATACATTAACAGCACACAAACAAAATCATAAGAAGGATGTTGTGTCAGACTGGAATGTGGCAAGAGCCCTCTTGGGGGCCATGGGAGGCCCCTTGGGGCAACTGAGGGAGTCTAGGGTACCTGACATGCAGTAACTATTGCTGAGTCTTTCCATATCAAACCAAGATCTGACACAAACACATTTAAAATATGTACATGAGCACACAATCATCTGAGACAGGGTGTCGTGTATCCCAGGATGGCTCCTAACTCATTATATGGCCAAGGATGACCTTGAATACCATCTCCCAAGCTTGCAAGCTTGGGTCACAATGTTAGGCTTCTGAGTAGAATTTTCAAAAAATTAAAAACTTGATGGCACTCAGGAGTTGGAGGCCAGATGATCATAAATTCAGGTCTAGTCTTGGCTGCATAGGGAGTTTAAGACAAGCCTGGATTACTTGAGATGTTGTCTAAGAATTCCCAAGAGAACAAAAAAAATCTTGAGCTGGGTGTGATACTGTACACCTGTGTGCTGGTTAGTTTTTGTAAATTTGACAGAAACTAGAGACATCTGGAGAAAGGGAACCTCAGTTGAAGGGTTTTCTCTAGCATATTGGCCTTGGCCATGTATGTGAGCCATTTTCTTAATTTCTAATTGGCACAGCCCAGTGTGGGTAGTGACATCCTTAGGCAGGTGGCCTAGGTTGTGTAAGAAAGATGACTACGAAAGCCAGAGGAAGTGAGCCAGTAAGCAGCAGTGCTTCATGGTCTCTGCTTGAGTTCCGAAATCCAGGTTCCTGCTCTGCTTGAATTCCTGCACTGGCTCCCCTCAACGATGAACTGCAACCTTTAAGCCAAATAAACTCTTTCCTCCCCAAGTTGGTTCTGATCAGTGTTTTATCATAATAGAAAAGTAACTAGTATAATCTGTAATCCCAGTGTTTGGGAAGGTGAGGCAGGAGGATCAAGAGTCCTGGGGCAATTTGGGCTACACGGAGAGACCCTGTTTCAAAAAACCCCAAAGCAAACAAAACAATAAAGTCAGTATCAGAGGTTATAGATAGTGGGCTGGCACCAGACTATGAAGCTCTGTCCTTGGTGCTGAAACATCAACTTACACAGGGCAAGGTGGCTTCTTTCAGTTCTAGGATTCTGACAGCTCTGCCTCCCAGTCCCCCCTTTTTTTTTCTGAGTTGATAGAGAGAATTGAGCAATTCATCCTGACACAAAAAACCTCAATTATGCCTTACAATTAACCTGGATGATTTGATATTCTTATGGTAGTTCTATCATATTTCTGACAGCCAGAACTTTCCTCTGAGAGTTGAGTCTCTCTGAACTCTGCGTTTCCCCCTCAGTGATCCTTATATGTGACATTTATATTGGAAGGAGAAAAGGAAGTATGGTATTTGGGAAGCTTGGGGGCTTAAAATTTTCTGCTTTCTAAAGAAAATAATTCAGAAACTACCAGGAATACCACTGATTGCTTCTTTGAAAAAAAAATAAAAGGAATCAATAACTGTCATAAAACCTCTCATGAGTACATGTGTGGTTCAATATGGCAGGCAGGCCTCAAAGAAAATCAGGGTTTCTATGACCTGTACTTCCCCTGTCTCTGGGTACTGTGGGTAATTAAAACCTTCTCAAACTCTATTTTTGTTTCTACTTAAATATCTGCGCAAAGAGTAATATCCTTAAATGCTTACACAGTGCTCTTTGCTTTTTGGACACTTTGTTAGGAGGGTTATGGGCTCACAGGCCTAGGTAAATGAGATTGACTCAAGGGCTGGGCTGTTCTCCATCATTTTGCTGAGCTGGATTCCATCAGGCAGAAACTGTAATCATTGCAGGATTGAGGCATTTTGAAATGTTACAGGAAAATGCTGCTGCTGCCTAAAAATGGAAGTTTCTTTCTGAAACTCAAAACAGACGTTGAAAAACTAAGAGCTCAGTGAGATTCAGGCAGATGCCAACAATTTGGGTTGCTTCCATTCAGCTAAGATGTTGCAACATACTATTAATATACTAGTGAGGAAAGGGATTGAACAACTGTGATAATGTGAGCTGTCTCTTATTGAGTATATTTACCTCTGGACTCTCAGAAACTCTCCCTTAATAATCCACACAGATTTGGTAATATTTTCTTCAATCTATAAATGATGAAGCTGGAATTCAAAAAAATTAGGTGATTTTCCCAAGAGCCAGGGTGTTAAGGTCTGGTCTGTCTGAAAGTCTGTGTCTTTTCCCTTAAGCGCTATTCACTACTGCTTACTGAATATTGGTAGCACAAGGAAGTGTGATCACTGTTGTGGTAATGATTGCACTCACCCAACAGCAAGGGGGTAAGACTTAAATTATGATGAGCCTGGGGTCCGGGTGGAGGTTGGTTTTGTGTTACACTGGAACTGTATCACTTGAGTTGGAGCACAATAAGTAAGATTTTTGAAATGAGTTATTTATTTATTTTATTTGTATGTGTGTGTCTGAGTGTATGTATGTGCACCACATGCATGTAGGTGCCTGGGAGGCGAGAAGAGAGCATCAGATCCCCTGGAACTGGAGTTACAGGTGATTATGAATCACCATATGAGTGCTGACAATGGAATTCAAGTCCTCTGCAAGAACAGTAAGTACTCTTTTTTCCCTATTTATTAATTTATTAATTTATTATTTATTTATTTGCTCATTTATTTATTTTAGTATTTTTGAAGCAGGGTCTCCCTATAGCCCCACCTGATCTGGAGTTCACTATTGTAGACCAGGCTAACCTTGAACTTACAGAGATCCGCCTGCTTCTGCCTCCCAAGTGCTGGGACTACAGGGGTGTGCCACCATGCCCAATAGCAGTGAGCATTCTTAACTGCAGAGCCATCTATCCAGTCCCCACAAGTAAGGTTTTAAAAGGCAGACATGAAGTTGAAGGACTATTCCCAAAGTGGACAGAGTAGGTTAAGGTTCAGGGGTGGGCAACACAGAACCTTTAGAAAAAGTTAGAACCAGAAAGTAGCTTGGGGTCAAACTTATGAGCATCTTGAACGCCAATTCAAAGTCACTGATTTGAAATTCTTAAAGCTCTTTTGACTGGTGGACTAGCAAATCAGGGCTTTGTTTTCTAAAGGCCACTCTTGAGACAGGTTGGAAAAGTGCTGAGAACTAGGACAGAGCTCAGTTAACCTCACATGTAGAGCCTAATTATCCTACAAGCAGTTATATTACCTAGGGGAAAAATCCTATATTTTATAATCTATTTTAATGATGTCTTTTCAGCTCAGTCAAAGTAGCCAGATTTAAACAATGCAAATTTGAGAAGCGGGTACCCTGGTTTGGCTTTTGCAAGAGTATTGTAAAATCAGCATTTTAATTGGGAACCAAAGGTTGATTTTAATAGATTCCACACTCTTTTGATATTGTTACAGTTGAGAAATTTCCAAGTTTACCTCAACAGACATCCTTTGATCCCAAAGACTGTAGTTCCCAAATCCTGCTGTATATTTAAATGTGGGCTCACATTTCACATTTAACAAGATCTTAAAAATAAAAATTGGAGTTTTGTTTAAGATACTTGATCGATAGCTTAAAATGAAATAAAAATAACCCCCTCAGCAATCCAAGGTATTTCTGACTAGTTTCCCATGCAGAGCATTCTCTCAGCACAAATACTTCAACTTGTCCTATGGGTTTTTATAGACTTACGACAACCACACTTTTTAAAAAGAGAAAGAAACCTAATCTTCATCACTATTATGAGATATAAAATGTATTTATCAAATCTGTAATCATTATGCCAAAAAACTGAATTACTGTAATATTTTTTATATTGTTAAAACTGTAACTAAATGTGAGGAACATTGCCTTCTCTTGATGTCTTTTGATGCTTCATGGAAGTTTTATTCTCAGGAGATTCCTGGGCTAGGTTTCTCTTTCCATTGGGAATAAGTGATTATAGTGAGAGATAACTT